CGCCTTCGCAATGCTCCTGTTTTAATCAAAATCAAATATAAATACATTGTAATGTCATAGAACCTACTATATATTTTACTATTCCTCTTGGTAAAATTCTGCTTTTCACATACAGTCTGAACTAGTTATTTTTTTAAGAAACTATGACATCAGTAATCTAAATGATCATACTCATTACAAATTTACAATACATTCTTCATTCTTTTTTTTAATGTAGACTGTATTAATTAACTGGCCATATTAATAGGTTTTTCCCCCATTTTGATGACTGATAAATAGGTCATTTGTCCAATCCAGCCAATCTGCTCTATTAACTGATAACTACCATTCTTAAGCAATTGATTCCTGATATATTTATCACTGACAGCAAGCTGTTTTAAGCTGAAATAAAAGAAAGAAAAAAGACAAGCAAGTTACTGTTAAATTATATTTATTGAAACACTTTCATAACCATCAGTCAAATCATAATCAAAAACACATGATAAAAACACATGATATATATGTATATGTTGAAAGACTTGGGAAAATACATTATTCATTATCAATATAATGATACCATTATATAACCATATTTACAAACAGCTAAAATTTTACAGTCAACTTTATAGGATAGTACCAAAATAACTGGACATGATTAAAGTTTCCTAACTCAGAATATATTTTACTTTATCATGATAGAAAGAAATGAATACATAAAAGTGGAAAGTACCAATTTAATATTCAAGCAGATAACTGAAATAACCTGTCCAAATTCTGTGTAGCTCCATGAGCAGCCTGTTTTGTTAATATAATGGAACTCTACAAACTTTCAAAACCCTTAAAACATAAAATTTGAAATTCCTACATTGATCAACAAAAAGGAAAAAACATGGAACAGCTGGTAATGAAGAAAATTGGGTCTCACAGTTTTCTTTTTAATTGAAATAATCTGGAAAAAAAAACAACAAACAAACAGAATTAGCAAATGTTCTAAAATTTGGAACAAATAGATTGTTTTATTTCCAGTCCTGCCATGTAGAATAAATGGAATAAACAGTATATAAATAACACATGGGTTTGTGGGTAACAGTAAAAATATCATCCCAAGGAAAATACTGTTACCCGAGGCGTACTGTTTTTATACTTTTAAAAAATACTGTTACCTATGTAACAGTACTAAATTGTTAGTCAGGTGGTACTGTTACCCAAGGCTTGGAAAATGGTAGATCAATTCCAGCATTATAAAATTGTAAGATGAAAAAGCCAGAGTGGTTTCATGCATATATTTGTTATTACAAGATTTTCTTTGAGGAATTTTACAGAATTGTTTTTCAATATGAACACTGTGATGTCATGATTTGATGACACAGCATTAAGCAACAAAAATTAGTCAAAATGATTTAAAACTACCAAAAAGAATGAACTATTAATAGAAAATTTGTTTTGCATGTAAGGCCATTATTTTTTGATATTTCGGTTTACTGACCCGCCGACTCCGTATTTTGGGAAAATGAAAAAAAAAAATCTGCCCCCAAAAAATTTTGTGTTGTCTTGAAATACGCCGCTAATAAAGTTAAGATGTTAGTTAATATTCTATCAGGATATATATATCTCATCTTACGACTTTTCAAACAAACGTCAAGAAAAATTTTCACGGTAATAATTATTGTGGAAACTTTATGAAGTTTTTCAACTGAGGTCTCAGCTGAGTTTCCTTTTAATTCAGATAACTGGAAAAAAACAACACAAAGAATTGAAGATTCTTTTGAACTAGATTGCCATTTCATTGCATGTGTATGAAACGATTTCAATGTGTGTGTTAAAATACATGGCAATGTTGAGCAAAGTTGTTTTTGTATACTTTAAACAATCTTTCTGAACTAGACTAATGGAGTCTAGTGTATTTATTCATGGCTTGGAAAGTAATCAATAGATTATATTGTATGCAACCACATTTTAATATGTTATGAAAACTTTTTTGGGTTTTCATTGTTTTTTTCATTGACCGAGTCAGATACCAACGCATTTTTGCAAAAAAATTCAATGTAAAACCAAAAAATAATAAATAAAAATTTGGCATGTAAGATGAAATTATATTTCATTTGTGAACACCAGCTTTTACATTTTAACATGTACGAGGGGTAATCCAAAAACTCGTGGACTTTTTAAATATCTTTTAAACGTCATCGTGTATTGTAATGAAATTTTATCAGCATATATTTTAGAATATTATCAACACGTTCTGAAACGAACAGTTAACTGCGTCAATAAAGAATGATTTTATATTGCTTTTAAATAAGCACGGTAGAAAAGCGCAGTTTTTATCGTATATTTTTTTGCTAAAAAACTACTAATTAACGTAGAAAACCCACTAAACATCGCATATTTCTTCTATGATGTCATTTAAGTCATTCTTTAAAATTATGGACGTCATTTCCGTTATTTTATTGTTGAAATCGTCAGAAACGCCAGACGACGATATTGTTTACAACGGGGAAATGACAGACACGCAGAAATTAGAAAATAGCGTGATCATAAAATTTTGTTGTAATTTGGGAATGACACCAACAAAAAAATTTGAAAAAAAACAAAACAGGTGAACAGAGAAAATAAAATTTAAATATCATAAGTGTTTAAGTGGCATAAAAAATTTAGTGATGGACATTACTTTGTGAAGCAGTAAGGGTTATTGACTGCGTAACGTTGAAGCATAAGTTGAACGTTATAGGGTTAACGCACGTTTTTCCGTGTAATAACGTCTGCAGAGTCCCGAGGAATGGTTGGTGCCCGAGCCCGGTAGGGCGAGGGCTCCAACAGTTCCGAGGGACTCTGCAGACTTTATAACACGAAATAAACTTGCGTTGACGCTATTATAGCATAAAATTTTCAAACAGATTCGTGCTGTATAGTTTATACAAAACACAATTACATTAAATTCTTGTGCTTGGACGGTATTTATCCAATTCTATGTTTTACGTATGCGTTTCATTTTTCCGGGGCCAACAACTTGGAAAATTCTCGGAACCGAACGAAATTTTGAATTTTAATTGATTTAACAAAGCTTGGCCTTTGGAGATTTATTATCTCAAGAAAAAAAAACGTTACATTACTCTACCCTCTACCCAAGACAAAACATGACCCTCAGAAATTCTTAGAGTGATTTCAGATTGACGATAGAAAAAAGATCAGTGACATCAGAATCGGTTTTTTTTTTCAAGCAAACAAGTTTATAAAAAAATCAGACACTAAGCATTATTCTCTCAAAGAAATATAAAGAGCATTTATCAACATTAACATAAATAAAAAACATTTTCTCATATTAATTTTGTGTTATCTAGTTTTGTAAGTTAATTGGAGTGTTAAACTGAATGACAGGTAGATTCTACTGTATTTGTTTACATTGACAACTGTCCGTTTCTTAGAAAGGGCGACAACCAAGATTAGCACCGATGTCTATACGCCGTTTTTCCGGCATTAAAGTTACTGGAATATGCGACTGAGGCCCATGAATCAATAAATTTCAATATAACAAGAACGCATGACTCTTCGGCAAACAGGCCAAATCGTCATTTTTTGTTTGTTTGTTTACTGGGCCCTGTATGTATTGCGCATAGGTGAAACCGGGCTATAACAAGAGCGCGTGACTATGTTAACACATAGTTTTGGTCCCGTTATAACATGGGCAAAAGAGGGAAAAATAGCCGATTTTATGCTATAATAAATATTACGACGTTGACGTCAATAACTTTTTGGAGTGCGCCACAGTCGCTGACATGTGTTTATGTAGAATTAAATATTGTTGTAATATAAGAAGCTACTAACATGAATTTTTCTGTGTTTATTTGTTATTTATTGTGTAAGAATTTCAAATCAATATCACAAATATATTTTACGCAACAAAGTTAGTCCACGAATTTTTGGATAACCCCTCGTAGCTATGTCATTCATGAAAATACTGTCTCTGATATGAACTGTGTGAAATGTAATAAAACTTATTTTTATATTGTTATAATAACATAAATATCAGATTGATGTCTGGGTGATATAATATGGTAAACATAATATTTGGAGGGTTAACATTATGTACAGGTACTATCACCATCAGAGGGATATGATATTTATATATAATCACATTCATGCAATGTAACATTAACTGTTGTTTGATGTGAATATTTATACCATTACCAATGATGATTATTGTGATTATATTGATTATTATGATGATATTGATTATTATGATGATGTTGATTATTCCAATGATGAACAATGATTGTAAAAAATAATGCTTGCTAAACAATGAAATCTAAAACCTGTTAATTTATTTCTCCTCAGTTTGCATTTTCGCTGGGACTGTCAATAAAAAGTCAAGATAACAAAATGTCTGTACTCTCAATGCCTTAAAGTGGGGTGGGGTATTTTTATATAATATGGCTAGATGTCAGACAAATACATGTATTTAAGAGATAATAGAATAAGATCAAACAGAAATGTTTTACACCAGGCATATATACATAAATATATTATATATTAGATAAAGTTGCAGTCTTCGCAAATCATTATTTCCTTTTACAACTATTTGCTTCCGTTTTTGTGTTGCCTCTACGGAGTAGTGGCGACATATAGGGATCACTTCTCCGTCGTCTGTCTGTCTGTCCGTCTGTCTGTCCGTCACAAAACTTGTCCGGACTACTCCTCATAAACTACTGGTGCAATTTTATCCAAACTTTACAGGAATGATCAGTACCAAGTCTAGTTGTGCATATTGTCAGCATTTTCCGGTTCAATGATTTTTGTCAGAGTTATGGCCCTTTAATAACTTTTATTTTTAAAGTTTGTCCGGACTACTTCTCTTATACCACTAATGCAATTTCAATGAAACTTTACAGGATTGATCTGTAGCTCAAGTCCTTGCGCATATTGCACGGGTTTTCTGGTTGAATGATTTTTGGCCGAGTTATGGCCCTTTGATAAAAAGGTGTTTTTTTCTGTGTGTTGCCAGATACACAAAAGCTTGTCCGGACTACTCCTCATAAACTACTGGTGCAATTTCATCCAAACTTTACAGGAATGATCAGTACCAAGTCTAGTTGTGCACTGTCCATCTGTCTGTCCTTCTGTCACAAAATTTGTCCCAACATGAAATTGGCCATCATGAGGCGACACATGTGATTACTGATCGCTCTTGTTCAAAATATATATCTTCTTAAAACTTTATTGTTTGAATTTTAAAAAAGAATGCTGTATGAAAAAATGTGATAGTAAGTTGCCTAAAAATTGAATGGCACATAAATTGTTTAACAGATAAAACCCCTTCTTTAAATAGCTGAATAATATTTTGTTTCAGGACATTTTTTTCTTTTTACATAATATATATATTTATATATATATAATGGGGGGGCCAATTTTGACCCCAGGGCTTTTGTTTGAACAAACTAGGTAGCCACTGACTAGAAGATATTTCATGCTTAGTGTCTTGGTTTTTTTTTTAAGAAGATTTTTTAAGTTCTTACGATACGGGTTGGGGCCAATTTTAACACCAGGGCCCTTATTTGAACAAACTTGGTAGACACCCATTAGAAGATGTTTCATGCTAAATATCTTAGCTCTAGCTCTTAGAGTTTTTTAAAAGAAGATTTTTTGAAGTTTTTACTATATACATAAAGGGATAAACAATGACCTCCAGGGGTGGGGCTAATTTTGACCCAAGGGCTTTTGTTTGAACAAACTCGGTAGACACCCACTAGAAGATGTTTCATGCTTAATATCTAAGCTCTAGCTAATTGGATTTTTTAAAAGAACATTTTTGAAGTTTTTACTATATACAAATAAGGAAAATCAATGACCCCCCCCGGGCGGGGTCAATTTTGATCTCAGGGCTTTTATTTGTATAAACTTGGTAGACACTGACAAGACGATGTTTCATGCCAAATATTTAAGCTTTAGCTCTTTCGGTTTTTTAAAAGAAAATTTTTTAAGTTTTTTCTTTCGGTTGCCATGGCAACCAGAGTTCTGCATGGAATTAAATTCTTTGAACAATTTTTAAAGTTGACTAGCAAAGGAACATTCCTATGAAGTTTGGATGAAATTGGCTTTAGGGTTTATGAGGAGATGTCGTTTGAAGTAAAAGTTTACGGATGGCCTGACGCTGGACGAAAAACGATCACTAAATATCAGGAACTATCTATAATTGCAACAATATTTTCAGTCATCTTAACTGTACAGCATTTTTCCTAGTATGTTCTGAGAATCAGCCAATCAAATGCTTGCCATTATTGCCTTGTCACAAGTTGACCTTGTTTCAGTCCTTGCATAGAGAGTTTACAGTGCTTTTATACTATAAATCTAGTACAAAAATTGACAACAGAATAAGGAACTTTTTACCATGTCATACTGTTCAGATCCAAATGCCTATTTTCATTTAGCATTGATAAAAAGTTGATGTTTTGCTTCCTAATAATGCTTTTGTGTATTCCACTGTCAAGTGATAAAACTTTATTCTGTATTCTAAAGCACTTATCCTTCACATTTTCAACAGAACGTTCAAAGCTCTTTCAGATAATGCTAGAAATGAGGATATTATCTTTAGTAAGTGTAACAATAAAGGAGAGTTTTCTGTGAAAAAATCCATGTTTCTCATCAAAAAACTTCCTTTCAACTTGTTCTGACAAATGTATGAAATAGATTTTTACAGTGATTTAAATCTTACAGGCACTGCTAAATAGGTGAATCTGTATGCTTATCATAAGTTCTGTTGTATTGAAAATGATTATATTTTGAATCATTTGACATTAAAGTATTATGATGGTCTATCATGTTTTGTTTTTCTTGGTGTTCCTCATTACTTGTGGTTGAATCACCTGAGACATCGGTTTCAGAGTGAAAGAGGAGCATGACGAGACTAACTATAAGCTCCACTAGCTCCATGATTGTTAACACAGAAATACCCATCCATAATCCTAGTGTCCCGCCAATGTCTGCAAATAGGTCTGCTAGGTCATAAGCCGGCATCTGCATGAATTCGACAATGCTTAAATCTTCTAAATATATGTTCAGGCGAATTAGGTTTTGACGGATCAATGTAGAGGCTCGAATTAGGTTATTAAGGTCAGACTCATTATATTCCTGATGTATCCCTTTTTGGGCCAATTCACCATAGTGACTAAGAGTGGTGTTAAGTTTATCAAAGGCCTCTTGAAGAATTTGAGTTTCTATGTTTTTCGGGTCTTTATAGAATTCTTGTAAAGCACTTAATTGGTTAAACTCAAGAGGCCAGTAGGAAAGAGATAGTGACTTCTGATATGCTGTCTCTTTGCATGGCTGGAAACACTGGCATGTCTTTTCATAACTTCGATCATTGTTTAAATTCTGCAACACTTTGTGTTCACACATTAATGTTTTCAGTTCTACCTTATCTTTGGCTTTAAAAAGATCTAATTTTTCACGCCAATTTTTTACTGTTCCACAATATGGTAAATCTTTTGCAAAAGGGTCGGTTTCCTTGTACATGGGTAAAGCAGCTGTTTTACATCCACAAACTTTCACTAGAATCCTCTGTTTACAAAGTTGAAAACATGTAAATAATGTGTTTCTATATGTTCGCTCACCTTGAAGTGTTGTAAATGTACAGTTTCCATGTGGACTTGGAAGCCGGGAATGTAATATAGCTTTTAATCCAACTGATGTGGAATATCCAGGCGGCACATCAAACCCATGATCAGCTGGGCTTGGCATTGTGTTTGGTGCATGTACTTGAGTACGAACGCCTGCACTGAATGCCATATGGTTTTTTACATCATAAATTCCGTAACCCCCAGGTGGAGCATTGTCGTTATCTAATGACAGAATCAATGACAGGCCATTTTGTGGTCCAGTTGTATGCATAAGAAGCTTCTCTTCTTTAGGTTGATCTCTTTCCTCATCATAACCATTATTGAATGTATAACAATTATAATAATTTTTACCATCAAAGAAGAGGGAAAAGTTTTGAGCACCACAATCTCGGTTGTTAAATCTACAATTAATAACAAAATTATTTATGCTGTGACCTATATACCTGGCTTCGTTTGGTAAGTTCTCAAAAAATGCCTGATGAGAGTTCATTCTGGATGCATGTTCACCAAAATTTGTTGCTGCAATAAAATGGAACCATTTCATGATGTCTGAACCTGGTGTTAACAAATCATTTACCTTAGTTAATGAAATGGTGGCAATATTGCATATAGTTACAGCTGGGAATTCTACAGGCATTCCTTCCTTCATATTAGAGACCTCAACCACTTGGTAAGAGAGAAACTTTTTCACCAAGAATGAAAGTTGAAGTGTTGCAGCAGTAAATCCAATTATCACAAGCAAGGACCAAAGCACTTTTCTTTTGGTAGTATTTGACGTTGCTATTTTGGCCAAACCATGAGCGTTGCTCTCTGAGCCTAGTTCAGCCATTATTTTAAGAGCCGTGGCCTGTTTATGTTTCTTTCCCTTACTACCACTGCCCATCCTCCTTTGATTTGACTGAAATCCAAACTTGGATAGACCTCCAAACTTCATAGGGTCCGATTTACCTCCCCTGAAAATAGAAATGAAAGCCATGAATCAAAAAAAAAATTCACATCAAATTGATAAAAAGCATACATACATGTCTTATTAGTGATATTAGACTGGGGCAGATAAAAAAATCTGTTTTCTTGAGAATGGTATACTTTAAAATATGATAAACAAAAAATTGAAGAAAATAAATTAATCTTTAGCATTGGTTCAGTAGGCACATTAATTTTGCTTGGTAGAGAAAATATGCAGTTTGTCTAATATGAGAAAAGAAATTTGAAATATTTTTGTAAACAAGGCAGTAAACTGAGAATGAGAAAACATATTTAAAAATCATACATACATCTAATTTGCTTTTTCATTATTTTATGCTTATACTTTGTTATTTTTTCAGACATGAACACAACAACATGATAGGATAGACCTTTAAGTGAACCAGACATACCTTGACCTTCTTTCAATTTTCATTATTTTCAATTACCATGACATATAAATACTTTGAGGTAACATATTTACAACCCACTCATATTGATACTCATAAAGTGTCTCTTAGCACAAACAATTTTGGCATATAGAAGACAGAAAAGACATTGATGTGAATATACTGTTTTCCTTTTTGCAATAGGTTATTCTAAAGTGATTTTTGCAGAAAAATTTGGAAAATTGATTTGTTCAAAATTTATGAACATCTAAGACAGGCAGTTACAGAATTGTGTGTCTGTTTGAGTTAGCTACACATTCAATTTACAGTTAATATTTTCATTGTATATAATTTATACAGATAAATAATGGGCTGACATGATTATAGAACCGCTACAATTCCTCAGACAGAACAAAACATGTGTGATTGATATATTGTTTATTTTCCATTCAAGAATAGTTTGTTATTAATTAAGACAGCAAAATTTACAGAGCAAAATGAATTCTAATATTACATATTACACCTTATTGATATAACACATTTACTTTCCTTTCAAAATTCTTTATAGATATTTACTTGTTTGTTTGTTTGATTGGGTTTTACGTCACACCGACACAGTATAGGTCATATGGCAACGTTCATGATTTACTCGTGGAGGAAGACCTCAGGTGCCCATCTGTGCATTATTTCAGGCACAAACGGGCACCTGAGTAGAACCACTGACGTTCCATAACTGGCTGGATAGCTTCCTCACATAAAAGAATCCAAAGTCCCTGTTGGGATTCGAATCCACAGCAGTGAGGGGCAAGTGGTTTGAAGTCAACCACTCGGCCACAGACGCCCCTTTATTGTTTGTAAATGCAAAATACTACAGAAATGTTAGTGACTATTTCTGCTAAAAACAAAACAAAAAACAAAACCAAACTAGATTACATTTGTGAAAAAATGCCACCACATAAATATAACAGAAGTAGATTTTTTTTCTATACAATTGAACTCTGTATAGACTTATGTAGGGAAACCATATTTGAGACTTTGTATGAAAGTACAGAACAACTGGTATATCACAATACCATGTGGACTTCTACAACACTGATATTATCATGCTCCTGGGATCAATATTGACCTTTCCCTTGGTCATTTGATTAATATAGACTTCCAGGGAAAAAAATTTGAAACTACAAAGCCTAGAGCTTAGATATTTGGCATGTAGCATCAATTATTATATTTCTGCAAAAGTTGTATTAATCATAACCATCAGGTCAAAATTGGCCCTTTCTCAGGAGTCACTTGCTTTATGTAGACTTATGTATAGAAAAACACATCTTAATTGTTATGGCCAGCTAGAGCTTCTATATTTGGCACATTCTTGTTGCTGCTATAGGGTTTATTGCTGCTATAGTGTTGATCTCTTGTATAATTTAATTTGCATTTTAAGACACTGTTGTTACCCTGTGTTCCTTGGATGTGATGTGGAACAATGGAAAAGTTATGATAGTAAATGAAGCAGAAAATTATGTAATATTATGCTAAAATTTTATATTTTTAAATTAGGAAACTTTGTTTTGCCTGACAATTTATCAAACAAATTGTTTTTTTGTGCAATTCGAATGAATATTATTTTGTTAAGTCAAAGAAAATACATCAATTTTCTCATGTTGCTTTTGTTAAATATTACAGTCTGCAGAATAAAACTTGCCTTTAACAAGTTAGAGTTGGTCTATATAATATCTTAAGAATATATACAAATTTTCTTTACATATTGTCCTATTGTTATCAATCTTATAAATCTGAAAATGATTATAACTAATTCTTCATCAAAATGAATTGCACTGCAGTTTCTTTAAAAATGAATTTAAACTAATTCAGAATTACCTCTTGCACTGAGTTATGTAAAAACCATTAATCTCAATAAACACAAGTGTGATAAATTAATTTAAAACAAGTTAAATGTTGATGCTGCACATCAAAGACGCTGCCAAATGATGTGAACAGTCAATCAGCATTGAAAATCGTTCTCTATTACAGTTGAATATCCAAAGCACAAATAATTTTTTTCCCATGTTCTTGGTATGTGCTCGTTGTTTAATAATAAATAATTTTGTGAAAAAGTAAAACCTAATAATGCAAGGTCTGAAATTCTTAAATGTTTGTCTGTTGCGACAAAGACTGAATTCGAAACGTCTGGATCGAATCAAATTAAAATTGGTGATAAAGAACAAAGAATTTGATAGTAATTAGCGGCAATAAAGAAGTCCTCTACCATTTTCCCTAAAAAATCTATTAATGGAAAATACATCTTTTTTGCTAATTATAATGAATTTGAGGATGAAGTCTGTATTTGAAAATATCAACCACAAAACATAATAAAATAAGTTTGTCTATATCACAGTAATGTGTTAAGTTTCCATGCTTAGTAAGGAAATTATGTTTATACAACCTTGTCATATTATTACGATGTGGGATTTTAAAGTATATCCTATAAGGAATGAAGAAGTTGGAGTGAAAATACCAGTTTCTCGAAAAAAATCTAAGTTCAAGGGGGACATAATTCTGGAAATAGTCTTGCTAGAGTATTTAAACCTTCTCAAAAATGTCGAGTGATAATAAGAAACATATATATGAAGTTTGAAGTAGATACATTAGGAAATATAAAAGAAGTTATTTAAAAAAGACAAACATTTTTTCCCCTAAAAAAAATCTAAGTTCAAGGGAGGTAATACTGATATTTTTTTGTGCTAGAGTTATAAACCTTGTCACATATGATGTGGTTGATGACCAGAAACTTATATTTAAAGTTTGAAGTAAACACCTTAAGAAATAAAGAACATATAGTGAAAAAGCTGAAAAATTTAAATCAGAAATCTTGAAATTCAGGCTATTTGTTGCCATAGCAACCAGAATTTTCAACATAGGAAGAAAAGAAAAAGATGTGCATAATCTCCAGACTGCCATCTACCCATATTTCAAGTTTCATAAAAATATTTTCAGTACTTTTTGAGTTATCACTGGATCCAGTTTATGTGTTAAATTTGCCATATTTTCAGACTATTTGTTGCCATAGCAACCAGAATTTTCAACATAGGAAGAAAAAAAAAGACGTGCATAATCTCCATACTGCCATCTATCCATATATCAAGTTTCATAAAAATATTTTCAGTACTTTTTGCGTTATCGCGGGATCCAGTTTTGTGGACGGACTGACAGACAGACGGACAGATGGACAGACAGACAGACAGACGGACGGAGGGTAAACCTAAAGTCCCCTCCGGTTAAACCGGTAGGGGACTAATAAAATTGAAATGATTGGTATACTGTATAGCGCATTATATCTGCGGTGTCAAATGTTGGCGTTTTTTAAAGTGTTTTGAATTGGCGGGGTCATAAATTGGCGCAAACGCTTTTAGACCGCCAAATTAAAACACTTGTTGGCATAAATATGGGGTCATGAATTGGCGATTACAAATAAAGAATAAAAAAAATAAATAAAAATAACACCGGTCACGCAGTAGTTGACTGTCCTCGTTTATTTTACGGCATACGGTATACCTATGCTTGGTCACCTTTATCTTTACATCGTGCTAATTCTTATAATTAACTGGGATCAGACAGGTGTAAATATGGTACCGTGTGGTAACTGGACCATGGAAGAGAAAGGTATGCCCTATTATCCTGCAGTCTTTAAAGCGTGAAAAATTGTTCACGGTCACCACAACTGATTGCTATATAATTACAGTTATCATTAGTTTTATTTCAAATTATGAAACATAACAGTGAAAACAAAACAAATACTAGTTTACTTAAATTCGATAATAAATGACATTTAGATTTGTTTCTCGTCGTGTGATCATCTTCGTAATAAATACAGTATTTGGTTTGTTGTACTTTCTTAACGGTTGAGTGAGAACCGCCTCTCTGATAGTGAGCGTGGTTTAGGCTTTGTAACTTGAAGTTTAATGATTCGACAAGTGATTTTGATCAAAGTTGTCCTGGTTCCCTTCTACCCTGTCAACGAAGACTAAATGCTAGCATATGGAGCATAATATCAAATTTAATATGACAATTTAAGGCGGAGCCAAACTTCAACAGAGGCGAAGCAAATGAAGTAAGTGACACTGCCTCAGTTATCACCTATCTCAACGGTTAAGTTTTAGAACGATAGACTATAGACTGGCTCATTGGCACGTTATGTATTATGTGGATAAAAAATAGATAATGATCAAAAGAATATGATATTCAAACATGGCACTATCACTTCAGTTAAACGTTTATTCTAATCCCTTAAAGCTCTGTGACATGTTGTACATCATAAAAGCTATTTTTATTACAAAATTTAAAAACAGTGTGATTTTGTTAAAACAAAAAAAAAATACACAAAATCAAGTCTAAAATTTTCCCCATTGTTGTATGGAAAAATGCATATCTACTAGATGTCGCTTGCAAGCGGCGTCTAATGAAGACAGGCAATTCTTAAATCTTTAATTACTTTAATCAGCATTTAATTTGTTCACTTTGGTTAAGATTTAATATTGAAAGATATTTCTAATAAAAAAACATTCCACAATATGATGAAATTATAATCCAAAGGCTGGTATGTGTAAGAACAAAAGATTTGCCTTTATCACTAATCTCAGTATAGTGTTTATATACCGGTATGATCAAATTGAAAATAGAAACTTCATAATTAGATTGATTATTACAAAATACTTGGATTTCTAATTGTTCTTAAATATAGATATGATTTACCGTAAGTAATATCAATAAGGATCAATAAGGTTTCTTGCTTCAAGGTTTAGGTTTTACAAAAAGAACTTAAAAGTCTACATAATAGGTAAGAATAACTTCTAAATGGTAATTGGCTTAACAATATTTATAAAGGAATTGGTACAGGTTACATATAAAATTACTCAACAAGTTTAAAAATGGTTTGAAACATAAATATTTTAAAGGTAGGAGTTGAACAAAAATATTGGTAAAAGTTTTTTTTTTATTAGAAGTATTTTACTATCTATAGTCTGTCCAAACCAGGCTTTTTATATCAAGGTTCTTTCACAGGTCATGGTGAAATTTTTACATGCAAGGTATAATTATATTTCTAGATTTCATATTATCTATCAATCATAGCAATTTTTTTCCAGAATTATATGCTTATGAGTAAAATTTGTTACAATATTATAGTTTTGTATTACTTGTATGACTTGACCCATTCTCAGTTTACTATAATCTGTGATGATTATATATGATAAATGGACCAAGATAATGTCCCACTAACAAAAGGAGGATCATGGAATCCAAAGGAACATCAGAGTGGGAGAGCACCCTGTCATAATTTCTGAAATATTCCACTTATCTCCTTCATAATCAAATTGTACCTGCTGGAGTGGAGCTCCCATCATTCACTGTTTAATCAGCATCATCAATCAGTCAACTAATTAATCAATTATCCTTGTTTTATGACTACATATCACTTAATGAGTTGTTCTTGAAGTTATCTCTTTATCTATAAATTGTTCACAGTGCAAAGTGACTAGATCATACTGATTATTTAATCAGTACTTAATCATTTAAATCACTACATCTTATATCTATATTTATATAAATAAACTACCACAGAACAGTGTGCTGGTAACATATTTGACCTCTGTGCACCAGAAATATGAGACAAAAGATCATCAAAGGAAAGCAACATTGAACAAAGTTGTCTCTCTATCTGCCACAGTCTTGTCATAACATGATATTAGCATTGAAGAGATTTTAGTGTAAAAGATGAGAGTAAGTGCAATGTCCAAGAATCATAATTTTACCATGCAATTTTTTGTTAATATCTGCCTGATGTCTAGTTTAACTTAGTATAACTTTTATTAAATTAAGCTATCAATTATATCTTGTTATAGAGACTCACCATTTTGGAAAATTACCCAACCCCAAGAACTTAACATTTTAGACAAAATTGGAAAATTAACAAGTAAAGCAAGGGAAGGAGAGAATACACATCAAACATCAGGATGGTTTGTAACTGGTTTATTCTAGGATCTACCGGTTTCGGTCTTTCAAGACCTTCATCAGGATATATTTCAAAGAAAAATGATTACTGAAGTATACAGAATGTGACGTATGTTACTATAAATAGACATATAAATGCGTTTATCTGGGCTAAGTGCCAAGTTTTTCTGGGCAAAGTGACAAGTTATTTTTCCATGTAAAATGTTTCAAATGTTGGATAACCACAGATCATATCTATGTCAAAGACCATTTTACAGCATGGTTTAAGAGTCCATATTAACCTAAAATGATTGTTTTGCATAAATGTAGTTCTAACTCTGAAGTCTTAAGTTGATTTAATAGTTACTGAGGAGAAATTAGTTAGTTTCAGTATTAACAAACTAAAATTCTTCATTTTTATGAGTAAATATGTAGATGTTAATTGGGATTTCCTGTGGAAGTTTCCATTATGTAATTTTGCAACAAATGTATATGTATAACTTAAATTCTGGCTGTTGGTTCTTTCCATCTAAAGTATAAATGGGTTTTGAAGAGCTTTGATTAGTTTAAAGTATCTGTAATCTTATTAAATAGTATTTTGTAAAATTGGAAAATATTAACACTGTATTCTATATCAGATAAAGAAAATCAGGTAATTGGTTCATTCAAATCCTTTTATATTGCACCTATAAACACATTTTAAAATTTGGATTCGAAACAAAGTATTTACTTCAGTACAGTGTAGTTAAGATGTTTTTCACATAATGAATTCATTCTGGAAACAGTTAGTTAATAAAAGTTAATAATTATCTATTACACAAACTTTTTTATCTCCAACATTTCAGCTGTAAAACCTCTCTTTTTCAAGGACTTTCTGTTCATTTTTATAAATTTTTTACATGTCTTATCTTACACTATGTTATCATAAACAGAAACTCTTTGAAAAAGAGGGGTTTAACCGCTGAAACATTGGGAGATAGAAAAGTTTGTGTAATAGATAATTTTCACATAATGGAAACTTTTTTTAATTTTAGTTGTGTTTTTCCCTGAATTAAGATTTTATTTTTGGGAAAATGACCCAATATGGGCCGCGCATATCGTCGGCTTGTTCCGGTCCGACACTTCAACTCAGAGTTATGGCCCTTGATTAGTTATGCAGTTTGCATATAGAGTAAAAATCGTTTCCGCGCTACTTCTCTGCAACTACTGGCTGGAATTCAACGAAACTTTATGGGAACCTTCAATATCAAGAGGGGATGCGCATATCGTCGGCTTGTTCCGGTCAGACACTTTAACTCAGAGTTATGACCCTTGATTAGTTATGCAGTATGCATATAGAGTAAGAATTGTTTCCGTGCTACTTCTCTGCAACTACTTGCTGGAATTCAACGAAATTTTAGGGGAACCTTCAATACCAAGAGGAGATGCGCATATGGTCCCCTTGTTCCGGTCAGACACTTTAACTCAGAGTTATGGCTCTTGATTAGTTATGCAGTATGCATATAGAGCAAAAATCGTTTCCGCGGTACTTCTCTGCAACTACTGGCTGGAATTCAACAAAACTTTATGGGAACCTTCAATACCAAGAGAAGATGCGCATACCATTGCCTTGTTGGGGTCAGACATTTTAACTCAGAGTTATGGCCCTTGATTAGTTATGAAGTATGCATATAGAAAAATATTCGTTTATGCGCTACTTCTCTGCTGGCTGGAATTCAATGAAACTTTATTGGAACCTTCAATACCGAGAGGAGATGGGCATATGGTCGCCTTGTTCGGGTCAGACATTTTAACTTAGAGTTATGGCCCTTGATAACTTATGCAGTATACAACCAGAGCAATAATAGTTTCCGTGCTACTTCTCTGTAACTACTGGCTGGAATTCAATGAAACTTCATGAGATACGAAGAGGAGATGTGCATATAGTCGCCTTGTTCCGGTCAGTATGCATACAACTCATTGGCATTTCCAGATATTACTATTTAACACACAGTTATGGCTCTGTTATTGCCCTGAATATTTATCAAGTTCAAAGAATATTACTGTTTATGCCATGATATATATATAAATAAAGCCTTATGTCTTCAGTTGTTGTGTTAGTAATAACTAGTACTCGGCGGGGGATATAAATTCAACGAATTTGCTTGTTCACACAAAAAAAACCATATCTATCCATTCTAAATATGTAAATATTAACAGTTGTTTAATATTTCAAGTGGACAATGTAAAAATAAAACAAGATTTGTTGCATGGTAAATGACCTAATTATATTGGGCTGGTGATTGTCAGCATGCCTCTTTGATGTGATCAAAGGTCTGTCAGGTCTTTTGGACTTTGTCAAATAACCCAATTAAAATGTTAACATCTTGATGTGGTTGCCTACTGCACATGTTTGTTCTTTTTGTAAGCTGATATTCAATCTCTGACACAGCGGTCCACGACAAACCTAACAACAGCTTAAAACTAGCGATTTAAAAGAAAGATATATTTTTATTTTGTTACAAGTATCCAACAAATTACAACAATTTCAAAGTTTAAAAGTAGCTTTGGGTTATAGAATTGTCAATAAATGCACAATCACAAATTACGTGGATGAATATGATTTTTAAATCAATGAAAATGCTATTTTTAGCGATGTTAATCAGAGCTTATTACACAAATAAATCTGACTGTCGAGTAGTGGAATATATACATGTTGGACTGTTTTGGGGAGAAGATTTTCGCTAAATTATTTACATCATTGTTAAACAATAGGTTTATCGTGAATAAAATACCTTGAAATTAATAAGGAAAACCCGAAATGCAATGGAAATTTTAATTTAGTATTACTTGATTTTATTCAGACTTACTTCGTATAACTTCTCTGTGGTGCAGGGGTTACTTGCTTGTTTAGTGTGTTAGAGGTCTGGGGTTCAAATTCCATTCGAGGCAACTTTTTTTTAAAAGTTTCTTTGTTAAGGAAGTAGCCACCATATGCAAGGATAAAGTGTCTGGCTGTCATAAAAAATTAACATAAATGATTTTTTGATACAACTCTAGTCATGCAAAATTCCGTATGTATCAAACTCTTGTGCCCTGCAAGATGAATTATAGTACATAAAAATAAACTTATACATACAGATATACAGTACGATTTAGATTGCAAAGATCAGAAAATACCAGAGAGCTTGCAGCCCTTTGATTTTATCTGGAATGATACAAATAGCAAAGGTGATATTTAAACCTAACTCGAATATATTCTCATTAATATCAAAAAAATAGAGAAAAACAGAATCCCTAAAGAAAGCCCAACACCGTAAAATTGTAAAATGTTGCAGGCTCGGTTTGATTGAGCCTGTTCATGGACGGCACTGGAAAGTGCAAGTTACCATCCACGCCCCCTAGCACCGGCTTAAGCAGAATTCAACATTTAAACACAAAAATGGTGAAATTTTGAATTTAGCAACATCAAGTCACAGAATTTTATAACAGAATTAGAATGCATGCTCTTTAATTAAAAAAAAAACTTGACAAAGGTGTTGATTAATATTAAAAGTTTAGTCTGAAAAAATGTCTATTATGAAAAAAAAAAAAAAATTAAAACAAAAAACGATTATGAAAAGTTTCGGCATGTCTAAGTGTTTACATGTACCCCGACTGATTACTTATTAATTCTGTGCATATAATTGCGAGATATTATGTCAATTTTGTACCAAAAATAACTTTTTATATACTCAAAATCACTTAATCCCTTGTTAAAAATACATACAGATCATGTCAAGGATCTGCTATTTAAAATGTTTTATTCTCTGCTAAGACGCATTTATTTTGCGACATGACTCATTGATTTTGCTACTGGACTCATTCTAGATTAATCACTGAGTTGTTTTGAATTATCTCCTTTTATAATACATGTATTTAATAATGCTAATCTGGAGAATAGCTTGAAAGGTATTGAAGACATGAGGAAGCGCAGTGTCTAAGAAATATAATACTACCTTACTTAGATTTTGAACGCTAACCTTTCATAATAAGTCAAAAATGCTTGTCTTTTTTATGCAGCCTTTATTTATTTTGTCTCCCAAAATTTTTGGGAGACATATTGTTTTTGCCTTCGCTGTCTGTCTGTCTGTCCCTTATTCCAATTCGGCTGGACATTCGTATATACGGTTGTTGTCCGGTTGTCCATCTGTCCGTATTCAGCTTGTCCGACCTTCACAGGTCTAACTATTTTTCAATCAAACTTTACAGGAGTGATCAGTACCATCCCTAGCTGTGCACATCACTGGCCATTCCACTTCCCTGCACAAAATGGCGGCCAGAGATTAAAATAGAGAAATCTTGTCAGGCCTTCACAGGTCAAACTACTGGTGGGATTTCAACCAAACTTTACAGGAGTGATCAGTATCATCCATAGTTGTGCACATCTTTGGCACTTTCTGATTTGCTGCACGAAATGGCCCCCAGAGCTAAAAATAGAAAATTTTTGTCCGGCCTTCACAGGTCAAATTACTGGTGGGATTTCAACCAAACTGTACTGGAGTGATCAGTACCATCCCTTGTTGTGTACATCATTGGCACATTCCACTTCTCTGCACAAAATGGGCACCAGAGTTAAAGATAAATAAATCTTTCAGGCTTTAACAGATCAAATTGCAGGTGGGATTTCTAACAAACTTTACAGGAGTGATCAGTACCATCCGAAGTTGTGCACATCGCCAGCACGTTCTGCATGCTGCACAAAAATTGCCAACAGAGCTAAAAATAGAAATATCTTGTCCTGCCTTCACAGGTCAACCTACTGGCTGTATTTCAATCAAACTTTACTGGAGTGATCAGTACCATCCCTTGTTGTGCACATCACAGGCATGTTCTGCTTCGCTGCACAAAATGGCCACCAGAGCTGAAAATATAAAAATTTTGCCCGGCTTTCAAAGGTCAAATTGCTGGTTGGATTTCTACCAAACTTTACAGGAGTAATCAGTACCATCCAAAGTTGTGCACATCGCCGGCACCTTCGGCATGCTGCACAAAAATTGCTGCCAGAGCTAAAAATAGAAAAATCTTGTCTGGCCTTCACAGGTCAAACTACTGGTGGTATTTTCAATCAAACTTTACAGGAGTAATCAGTACCATCCCCATCGGCACATTTCACTGTGCTGCACAAAATGGCAGCCAGAGCTTAAAATAGAAAAATCTTGTCCAACTTTCACAGGTCAAACTACTGGTGGGATTTCAACCAAACTTTACAGGGGTTACCATACATAGTTTTGGGAGACATATGTGTTTGTGTCTGGTGTCTTTCATTATTTTTATTATAGGTAGAAAGCTTTGGGTGGAATTTGGATCAATATGAAAGTTTTTGATGCTAAAAATTAACTATTATGCATTTAAATATGTTGACAAATGTACTGATCAACAGAACATCCATCAGCTTAATGATATTTTGGTTGTTTTTCTGCCTCCACTTTAAGGTGGGGGGGGGAGGGGGCATTTAGATTTACCCTTGTCTGTCCTTCTGTCCATCCGTTCTCATTTTGTGTTGCATGTAGCTTAAACAGTATTTGACCTAGAGTCATGAAACTTTACAGAAATGTTGATCAGCATGTGTAGTTGTGCACCTGAGTATTTTTGTGTGTATAAATTTAGTATTGTTAGAGTTATTGCCCTTGACTTCTTAAAAATTTGCAATTTTCAACTTCAGTGTAGCATGTAGCTCAAAAAGTATTTGACCTTAAGAGTCATGAAACTTTACAGAAATGTTGATCAGCATGTGTAGTTACTCAGTGCACCTGGGTATTTTTGTGTGGATATATTTAGTATTTTTAGAGTTATTGCCCTTGACTTAGTAAAAATTTGCAATTTTCAACTTGTGTCACACATAGCTCAAAAAGTATTTGAACTAGAGTCATGAAACTTTACAGGAATGTTGAACAACATGTGTAACTGTGCACCTGGGTGTTTTCGTGGGGATATATTTAGTATTGTTAGTTATTGCCCTTGACGTAGTAAAATTTTTCAATTTTCAACTTGTGTCGCATGTAATTCAAAAAGTATTTGACCTAGAGTCATGAAACTTTACAGGAATGTTGATCAGCATGTGAAGTTGTGCACCTAGGGTTTTGCTTGTTGATTTATTCTGTTTGTCAGAGTTATTCTGGTATTTGCATGTGAATTTTTTCTGTTGAGTTATTGCCCTTGACTTAGTATAAATTTGCAATTTTAACTTGTTCATGCATAGCTCAAAAAGTATTTGACCTGTAGGCCTGAAGTTTACAAGAATGTTGGTCAGCATGTTAACGTATGTACCTTGGGGTTCTCTTGTGGATTTATTCAGTATTTGTAAAGTTCTTGCCCTTTACTTGGTAGTTTTCAACTTGTGGCACATGGAGCCCAAAACATATTTGACCTAGAGTCATAAGACTGACAAAACAGTGGAGTGTTGGGGCACCCGTGTCCTATGGACACATTTCTAGTTTTCAAAGAGGCACATCATGAGTGCCTCACTTAAATGCAAAATAATATTTATTTATTCCCTACTGATTCAAAGAAAGTGATTGTGTATCATTAAAATACAATACATATTTTTTTATTTACAATCAGTTTCAGGAAAATTTATGATTTACTGTTCAATCCAAATATGATTTTATTGTTTCCTAAATTTTCTAGATGGATGCACTTAGGACTGTAATTGCATTGGAATGGCCTTTGGGGAATTTCTTCCTGATACAAACAACTGATACAAACATATACTGGCAGATCTCTTAGAAATCAGATTTTTTTTAAATGGTTATTACAGGCTACAGTCACTTTAAGCTTGTGCAAGGAATTTTCTTGTTTTGTTGGCAATAGTGTAAACTAAATTACTATGCCAAATTATTATATTTTTGATATTTTTCTGTTTGACTTTCTAAATGTTTTAAAGCTGTTTGCCAAAATGTTGCATTGCCTTCACTATTACTTAATGTGTGTTTTAACCATTTTGGTATGCTTTACAATAAACAAAGAGTGAAAAAAAATTAACATTTTCTCTCTGTACCAGTATGTATTCATTTCCTGTTGTAAAGTCCTGTGTACTTCATACAGAATTCAGTTCAGTTTTGTGTAAGCTTATTGAAACACTCATGAATCATTTCCTGGAACCAACCAGTATTAAGCAATGTGTTAAGTGTTTCTTGCTCAAGAAAACTGCTTGCCCCTGACATGTTGAACCCACGAAGCCTGCAATCCTTAGATTACTACTCTCCGCTGAGTTGATCACTCGGCCTATCTGCATTAGGAGGCTGTTAAGCCACTCTTAAAAAATTATCTGTTTGCTATTGCCGGCCGACCTGGCGAAAATGCCCCGACTCAAAAGTTTTTTTCAGCTTAAAAAAATCAGATTTCCACCAAATCAGCCAGGGCATTCGACCCAAAAAATTCCCCCGAAAACAAAAATAAAATCGGAGGAAAATCACACATTTAATATGTAACAAGTAACGAGTGATCATTCATGAAAATTAGGGTGTTACTATTTAAAGTATTTACATAAATAGCGACCATCCAGGGAAGGACATTTTCCTTATGTCACGCAGTACCGCATGCGCACGGCAATTAAGTTGAATAAACTAATTATAGAACGTATCAAATTAAGGTGTGGAAACTGGATTAAAAATAATGTTTGTTTAATTAATGAATATTTGTAAAGCATATATATGGTCACTAGTTTACCATGTGGTAATTTTAATGTGCTTTGGGGTACATGTTCGTTTGTTTATGACTGCCGATACAGATTAAATACTTAGCCCATGCAATAAAACATTTCTGGTAGCAGCGGGGATTCTGTCATAAAATTGACCGAAAAAATTAATTTTTGGAAGCTGTGGTCCTTTCATATGCATTATTGTTTTGATAGCAGACACAAGTATTGCACAATATCTTCAAGATCATAAAAATGTAAATAAAATATCACAATCAAAATGCACTTACGATTAATAATATGTCAATAATTGACACAATAAATATCCAACATTTTTTTTTACTTGAGCAATAATTAAACATGTGTAATCATTCCTTGACAAAAAGAAATGACAGTTTTTTTTCTGATGTATAAAAAAGAGGCGGAAGTCAATTGAGTGTCGGCACTTCTTTCATGATTCGGCAACAACTACAGGTGTGTAAACATCAAAGATTCACAGATTCTTCAGAAGTGCAGACAGGTCATTTCATGTGTAAATTTTGTATTTATTATTTAACTATGGAAACATTATATTCCTTTTATTTATGGATGCTACTTTTTGTGCGAGTGTTTTTGTGTCTTTTAGCGCTATGGAATATCAACAATCGGCGATAATTTTCGGTAACTAACAAATATTTTAACATTTTTAAAACAGGAGTACAAATATCCGCCATTCAGAAATTATAGGAGACAAATCTTGCGTGTGTTATTTTTTACAGACGTGTAATAAATTGAGTTATGATCACCCGTGAGAACGAAATGTCCCAGTGATCCACTATAATTTTTCCAGTTCGTACGGGAATATTTACGCAGGATTAGTTTATCACATCGGTAATTTGACCATGCTTGAATTTATGTCCACATAGTCATTTTTTATTTGTTTGGGTCGTCAGACCAAACAAATAATGGTAGCGAAATTTCAGACTCTAATGCTGTTAATTGCAAGTGCCGAAAGAAGTCCGCTTTTTTGAAGCGGTTACTTCCCTTTATATGTAACACTTAGGCCGAAAAATTTAGGGGAGATCACTGCGTAAATATGGTCACATGACAGGCGGATTAATCTTCAAGCAAAATAATTCCCGAATAGTCGAAGATTTCTAATATTGTTTTATTCTTTATAGATATACATGCTTATAGTAAGCGCCATGATTATTTACACAAGTGTTAAACAACAGTTAGCGTCGTTACAAACCCTAACTAGAATAATATGGTTTTCTTCAGGACTTTAATATGTAAATTCACCGTGGCCGAGGGGTATGCGCGCTCGCTTAGGAAGCGAGAGGTCTGGAGTTCAAATCCCAGTTAAGGCAACTCATTTTTTTTTTCAAATTGTTTAAGTCAAATAAACATTGGATTGAATATCAGTGTTGCAATTAGTCTTACAATTAAAACGCTGGAAAGCATTGGTGGCACTATACAAAAACAAATTGTTTTATAATCTCACAACCTTCACCTTTCTGACATTCTGAGACCCAAACAAATTCAGCTCCTTCTGTGCTTTGATTTATTTCATGTTATGATTACTAGTGAACATGTTTTTGATTGTTTTTGACTGTCCGTCTGGTTATTTAAAGTTTCATTTTTTTGGCTATTATTAGCTGTAACTTTGTTATTTTTGAATGGATTGTCTTCAAACTTGAATATAATAATCTTCAAGGATAGCCCTTTAAAATAACCAGACAGACCTTGACCTTCACTCATCAATGACCTTGACTTTGAAGGTCAAATTGTTGAAATTTTCATTTTTTGGCTATTATTGGCTGTAACTTTGTTATTTTTGAATAGATAGTCTTCAAACTTGAACATAATAGTCTTCAAGGATAGGCTTTTAAAATAACCAGACAGACATTGACCTTCACTCATAAATGATCTTTACTTTGAAGGTCAAATTATTGAAATTTTCATTTTTTTGGCTGTAACTGTAACTTTGCTATTATTGAATGGATTGATTTCATTTTATTACAGAACATTCTTAAGGACAAGACCTTCATGTTTATCAAACTCAAATTGACTTTGGCTCTTTTACAACCTTGACCTTGAAGGTTAAATTACTGAATTTTCACTGATGTGTGCATTAAATTACCATATATATTTATTGGTGTGCATGTTTATATATATAAAAGCGTGTGTGTAAATGCGTGTATATAAATGCGTTTATATATATATATATATATATATATATATATATATATATATATATATATATATATTATATATGTATATATATATTAAATGCGTATATATATATAATATTCATGAGGATATATATATGGAAAGGATACATACTTTGACAAAACTAAAGTGACAAGATAGACCGATTAAATTTATAAAAAGGAAATGTTAAGATTTATTCAAACATTTCTTTCTTTGTTTTTAGAAAAAGTAAAAAGTCGAGCGTTGCCCCCGCCCGGCGGTGGCTCCTGTTTGACTTAGAAATAGTTTTTGCGTGTAAGCTGGTATCTCCATAACTACTGAAGGGTTTGTGTCTGTTTTTGGACAATTTTATGCATTCATAATAATAAAGCAGTGATTTACTCGATAAAACATCTTAATAACAAGCCTTTGTACCTTTTCGGACAATTTTATGTATTCATATAGGTAAGCATTATTATACTCAATGAAACACCCTTGTGACAACTTTTTCGAATAGTCGAGCGTTCCCTTCCTCCAACAGTTCTTGTTAAACATTGTAAAAAGTTTGAAAAATACAATTTTTGAGGTGAGGTTTATCCATGTGGATGGCGATTCACTTGATAAACAGCAGTTAACCAGTTTGAAACATCAAAATAAATACCTTTAAAATTCTAATTTAGGACATTATAAAGTAATTCTACATAGGACTACCAAAAAATATAACAGCACTGAAAATTAACATAAATATCTGCACATGTTTGAATCTCATTCATGGTTTAGTAACTCTGATTAACTTAATATAATGGTTTGCCTATAATAGTCACATAACCGACTTTGGTTTAAAGAATTGCCATACAATATTGGTTGATTTTAACAAGAATTTGACAACTTTATACCTTAATCTACAAAATGTGCTTATGAAAATGTTTATGATGGCAGCATAAATGAACAAGCTGATTGATAATGATATAGTAATAAATGCAATAGAGGAACAAATGAGAAAATTAGTAGTAAGCAACACACAAGGGAGTCTCTACTCCCAAATAGAGATAAAGAGAAAAAGTGTTACAGCAATATGTATTGCTTTCTTAGAAAACATTAGAAATTCATCATACAGAGCTGGTTAATATTTTTATTTAATAATAGTGTATGGAGTGTATCAGCAAATAGTGATAGTATCATGAAACTGTATTTTTTCATGATGTTCAAATTTCAACAGGAGTTTGTATGGTTCAGTTGTTTTTTATGAAATTCTGCTGTTTTTATACATGATAATAGTTGTTATTTATGTAATACTGCAGTAGGGTTGTTGTGCCCCCACTTTAGGGGGGGGGGGGTTGGACATTTAGATTAACCCTTGTACGTCCGTCTATCCGTCCTTCCGGGCGCACGAGAGGACACTTGTTGGGTATCTTCGGCGCACTAGAGGACACTTGTTGGGTAATTCTATTCATTCCCTCAGTATTGTCGGGTACTTTTGTTCTCTTACTTTTAAACAAAAAAGTACTTTATAAATGTCCATTCGTAGGAAGGTCCATCCGTCTGTCCTTAACTTTTGTGTCTCAGGAAACTCAAAAAGTATTTGACCTAGAGTCATGAAGCTGAACAGGAATGTTGCTAACCATGTGCAGTTGTACACCTGGGTATTTCCTATGGATTTATTCAGTATTTTTAGAGTAATTGCCCTTGACTTAGTAAAAATTTGCAATTTTCACCTTGTGTCGCACATAGCTGAAAAAGTATTTGACATAGAGTCATAAAACTTTACAGGATGTTGATCAGCATATGTAGTTGTGCACCAGGGTTTATTTTCGTGTGGATTTATTTACTATTTTTAGAGTAATTGCCCTTGACTTAGTAAAAGTTTGCAATTTTCAACTTGTGTTGCATGTAACTCAAAAAGGATTTGACCTAGAGTCATAAAACTTTACAGGAATGTTGATCAGCATGTTGTAGTTGTGCACCTGGCTATTTTTGTCTGGATTTATTTAGTATCACTCTTGACTTAGAAATTTTTTGCAATTTTCAACTTGTGTTGCATGTTACTCAAAAAGGATTTGACATAGAGTCATGAAACCTTACGAGAATGTTGTTCAGCATATGTTGTGCACCTTGGGTTTCACTTGTGGATTTATCCAGTATTTGTAGAGTTATTGCCCTTGACTTAGTAAAAACCGTTTCATTATGTTGTGTTATTTGTTCCTTGAGTGCTTGAGTTAGAATCAACCAACTTTACAGGAATAATGATCAACATCACTAAATTACAAGAATAATGATCAACATCACTGTGAAGCTATGCACCTGGGACTTTGCATGTGGATTTTTGTCAGTTTTGTTAGAGTTATTGCCCTTGACTTACAGTAGTATAAATTTGCAATTTTCAACTTGTTTATGCATAGCTCAAAAAGAAATTTGACTTGTAGGCCTGAAAGTTTACAAGAATGTTGGTCAACATGTGTACTTATGCACCTTGGGGTTTGCTTGTAGATTTATTCAGTATTTAAAAGTTCTTGCCCTTTACTTAGTAAAAGATTTTTAGTTTTCAACTTGTGGCACATGAATTTTAGTCCAAAAAATATATGACCTAGAGTCATAAGATTGACAGAAATGTGGCGTGTGGGGGCACCCGTGTCCTATGGACACTTTTCTAGTTTTTTTTTAGCTCACCTGAGCATGCTCAGGGTGAGCTTTTAGGATCGATGATTGTCCGTCGTCCGTTCACATTTAGTTGTTAACACTCTAGCGGTAGCATTTTTGCCTCAATCATTATCAAACTTGGTCAGGATGCTTATCTAGTTGATAGCTCGGATGAATTCGAACATGGGTCATCTCGGATGAAAAACTAGGTCACAAGAGCTAAAAATAGAAAAACCTTGTTAACACTCTAGAGGTCACATTTTTGCCTCAATCATCATCAAAGTTGGTCAGGATGCTTGTCAAGGTGATAGCTTGGATAAGTTCGAACATGGGTCATCTCGGATGAAAAACTAGGTCACAGGAGCTAAAAATAGAAAAATCTTGTTAACACTCTAGCGGTCACATTTTTGACACAAGTGTCATCAAACTTGATCAGAATGCTTGTCTAGGTACTTGCTCAGATGAGTTCGAACATGGGACATCCTGGATGAAAAACTAGGTCATCGGAGCTAAAAATAGAAAAACCTTATTAACACTCTAGCGGTCACATTTTTGCCTCAATCAACATCAAACTTGGTCAGGATGCTTGTCTAGGTCATAGCTCGGATGAGTCAGAACATGGGTCATCTCGGATGAAAAACAAGGTCACCGGAGCTAAAAATAGAAAAACCTTGTTAACACTCTAGCGGTCACATTTTTCCATCAATCATCATCAAACTTGGTCAAGATGCTTGTCTAGGTGATAGCTTGGATGAGTTCGAACATGGGTCATCCTGGATGAAAAACTAGGTCACAAGAGCTTAAAATAGAAAAACCTTATTAACACTCTAGCGGTCACATTTTTGCCTCAATCATCATCAAACTTGGTCAGGATGCTTGTTTAGGTGGTAGCTCGGATGAGTTCGAACATGGGTCATCTCGGATGAAAAACTAGGTCACCGGAGCTAAAAATAGAAAAACCTTGTTAACACTCTAGCGGTCACATTTTTGCCTCAATCATCATCAAACTTGGTCAGGATGCTTGTCTTGGTGATAGCTTGGATAAGTTAGAACATGGGTCATCTCGGATGAAAAACTAGGTCACAGGAGCTAAAAATAGAAAAATCTTGTTAACACTCTAGTGGTCACAATTTTGACTCAATTGTCATCAAACTTGGTCAGGATGCTTGTCTAGGTAATTGCTAGGATTGGTTCGAACATGGGTCATCTCGGATGAAAAACTAGGTCACACCGCCCAAATATGGAAAAACCTTGTTAACACTCTAGTGGTCACATTTTCGACTCAATTACCATCAAACTTGGTCAGGATGCTTGTCTAGGTAATTGCTCGGATGAGTTCGAAATCGCATGTGAAACTAGGTCACCGGAGCTAAAAATAGAAAAATCTTGTTAACACTCTAGTTGCTACTGTTTTGATCCAAGTATCCTGGAAATTGGTCTGAAAGTTTGTTTTGATGATTTCTAGGTCAAGTTCGAATATGGGTCACCTGGGTAAAAAACTAGGTCACACTGCCACACAAATATGGATAATCCTTGTTAACACTGTAGCGGTCACATTTTTGACTCACCTGTCATGAAACTTGGTCAGAATGCTTGTCTAGGTAATTGTTCGGATGAGTTTGATGGGTCAGGTGAGCGATCTAGAGCCATCATGGCCCTCTTGTTTTGAAATTCTGCTGTAGGTTTGTTTGGTTAAACATAATATTAGTTATTTATGAACACTGCTGTTGGTTTGAATCCTGCCAAGAATGTTCATCCATTTTATGTTAGAAAAATATCCTGTGCAATAAAAGAGTTTGATGGTTCTACCACTTTTTGCCTGAAATATATTTATGGTAACACATTATTCTGGTGTTTTCCTCTTTTCTTAAGGTTTGGAATTTGTTAAATATCAATTTGATTTAAACTCATTCAAAACAACAACAGCAAAATATGCATTTTCAAATTATTGAAGAAATTATCTGACGACAATTAAAGATAGCTTTGAAATAATTGTTTTGCTTTTTCTATCAGCATACAATTTTTAGTTTCCAGTGTCCATGATTATTTACAATTATTTACTTTACATAGTCAAATTGAATTATGAGTGAGAAATGTAATTTAAACTGCACATTAAACACATGTAATTTTATTTGTTTATCAATCTTCTTTTCACTTTTTATTTTAAATTTTGTGCAGACAGTAAATGAATATATAAAATTTCATCTGAGAATTATAATCATTGCAAAAAAGTATTTAAATATTTCTGATTCATAATTTCTGATTAAGCCTTGTATTGATGAAGACATTATGTAACAAATTGATATACATAATTATGTTAATGTTTTACCTCATGATATATGAGAAAACAGTTGTTGTTGAGACATGTATCCTGTAAAATGTTGTTTTTGTTTTATGATATAGTGTAATAATTGCTACAATTTAAGCAGGTATGAAACTTGGAATTTGTTAATGATGCTGTTTCAGGCAAATATGACAATTTATTTCAGCAATAGATTAACAGATCTTTGTTCTGCACTTTCAAAACATGTATATCAATAATTCATGCAACTTGTATATTTTGGACTAGAATAATATTAGTATTGATTGTCATCATCTGTTATGGAATTATAAAAGAAATGTTCATTATTATCTCTAAATTGCATAAACTCCCAACACCATCTTAAACATTACACATTAAACATTAAAGGGGAGTGGTGTTCTTAGTGCTTAAGGTGTCTGCCTCTCAACCCAGAGATCATGGGTTCAAGCACTACTCGGGTCAAGACCATGTTTCTTCATATGACACCAGTACCGGTTGGTTCTAGGAAGCGGGCGCGAAAGTGATTAATATAAGTTGCAAGAACTTGTTTGGCAACTGAGCTTAAATGAATATGTTTAAACTAAACATTACATACTTTTAAGGTTAATAGTTTTTTGAAGATACTTCACTTTAAATAATTGGCCTCGCTGAGAAAATGACAGATATTGGTATCTTTTAATGTTTCTATATTCTTTTTAGCTCACCTTGCACATAGTGCAATACAATGTCAAATGTTTCGGTTCTTAACAATGACTTGCACATTTTATTGTGTAAAATATTTCACAAAGAAACGAAAGTGAACAAAAAATGTTGTATTTTTTTCACAAAAATTTAGCTGATTAAGATTAAAAGTTAATTTACAGTATGGATATTATTTTTACATCCTTCCGGTTTGCGGGAAAGATACAGTACCTTTTCAAGATGAATTTTTTTAATGAATGAAACTTTTATTGAAATTAATATGGAAGATTTCGTTGAGACAAAATTTTGTACATCTATTCTACAGTAAGGACAGAGGCAAAGTGATGTTTTAGGATACAAACACTGGTATTAGCTTTGCGTATGCAAATGAGTACCAAAATATTTTGGTATGCAAATAAGGTGGTTCGAGGTTACAATATAAAATAAATAAGTCATAATATTTCATTTCTAGAACAAACATACAATTCAAATCAATAAATAATGCATATCAATCAGTCCATTCAACAACTTTGCCTCAGAAAACATCTGTATCAGTCTGACCTCGAGTTGAGATTATAAAAAGAACTAAACCAAAAGTATGACAACCCTGACGAAATGGCCTCCATGCACAAGAAAATTGAGAAATTTTGTAACATAAACTTGTATTTCATAACAAAGAAGTGAAGATGAATACAATTATCGGTGTGCATCGTTGAAACAGGTATTTTGTTAACTATTTGTGAAGAATTAAGACATGACATTCAGTATTTATGTAAATATCACCTCCCTTGTTATGATTTCTAAAATTATAGAAAATGGAACATAAATTATGGTAATTATCCATGGTGCTAGTAATACTTAATTATCTTTATCATTTTGTTAACTAAGCAAGAAGCTTACGTAATGTAAAAATTACCTAACCTCACAATATTATCAATTTAAACTTGAAAATCTACTCAAAATGACTTCCCAAACAGTAATTTTTGAAACATGGAAATCATTCGCACTGTACCTCTGCACTGGCATGTACAGAAGTTTCAGTTCCTTGCGAAAGTGAAGGAAACTAGTACTGGTAAACTGCTTGACAGCCTGCCAGGGAACGATGCGGTGCTGAACAGTGCTCTGGTGAATTCAATGTGGCTTACTGTCGTGATCCAGAGTGTAAACTACCAACAGCAACACCAGTTTAGCTGTATTAACAAGCATGTGGCTTTAGTTGTAAATACTATAACTTACCAAAGTGAATGCAGGAATACACAGCTTGACTACATTATGGCTCAAGCTATTGGTGCAAGTTGTAATTATCCTGTTATAATTACTGTAAATGCAATTTAAACTGCAGCCATGTCTTTGTTAAGACCAATATTGTAGTTCCAAAAAGCATTATTTGTAATAAGAAATTTATTTTCTATAAAGTCTGAGTCAATTTTTTCAATAAGAAATGAATGCATATATTTTAATGATTACATATAATGTGGACAATTATTTGCAGTACATATTTTACATTTGAAAATTGGTCAATAAGGTTGAAATGATGATTTTTAGGTAAAGTTCGAATATGGATCACCTGGGGTCAAAAACTAGGTCACATAGCCTTAATATTGGAAAACCTTGTTTACACTCTAGGGGTTTCTGTTCCAGACAAAATATCCTTGAAATTGGCCAGAATGGTTGTTATGATGATTTCCAGGTCAAGTTTGAATATGGGTCACTTGTGTTCAGAAACTAGGTCACACAGCCCTTATATGGATAAACCTTGTTGATACCATAGAGGCTACTGTTGTGATCCAAATAACCTGAAAATTGGTCAGAAAGGTTGTTTTGGTGATTTCTAGGTCAAGTTTAAATATGGGTCATCTGTGGCCAAAAACTAGGTCACACAGCCCAAATAAAATAGGATTGAGCCTTCAGGTGAGCGATATAAAGGCCATCATGGCCCTCTTGTTTTCTATAATTGTCCACCAGAGTACAATTTATATGGATCTATCAATGCCATCTTAAAGATATTTTACACAGGTATAGAGAGGCTAAGGTGGGGAAGTGCAGTGTCTAAGAACCATATAAACTCTACATTATATAATAATGCTTTCTTAGGGGGGGGGGGGATGGCCGGGATACACTGGATTTTTTTTTTTCAAAACTTGAGGCAGTAGTTGTGAAACAAGAGTAGAAGCGCATTGTCAAAAAAAACTATTGTGCTTCTTAGCTTGATTATTTAAAATTGTCTCCCCTTAAAAATGATAATGCTTTACATTTTTGCTTATATAACTTCTCATAAATTTACCTCCATATGTTATTGGAACAAACCTTTGGTAGCATATAGTCACTTGTCTAAACAACAAAACAAACTATGGACTACAGACTGCTGGAGGTCATGTATAATGCACATTTGGGATCAATTAGAACAATGAGTAAATCAGTGGGTTATCATGATCTTAGAATGCACTTATTTTGTTATCAACAGTGTTGTAGACATGTATAATTTTAGGGCAATATAAAAAGATAATGGTATTTTCTTGGTATTTTATATTAAAATATAGGATCAATCAAATTCGCAGAACATTTCAAATGACTGAATAAATCGATCCTTAGAGTTTTTATCATTTTGTTCTATGAAATTATCCAGAATAGATTATCTTGATGCACTTTGTATATGTATGAGATTCAAACCTGGCCTCTCTTGATACATTTACAAGACAATATAATTGTTTCAATACTATACAAAAAGAAAAAAGAAAAAAAGACTATGCTTTAATATTGCACTTGATTGTTAGATTTAACATTATTCAGCAGGCTTACGTTGCATCATTTTTGGTATGGTGAATGTCGGGGCGGCGGGCGGGGAAAAACTGGTAGGAAACTTTCGTAACAGTTTTCTCAGCAACTGCATATCACAGCCTTTTGATATTTGGCATACAGCATTGACATATGGTCCCATACTGTGGGATTCGATTTCAGGTCTGTCCCTTATCCCCTGTCTGTTTTTCGACTTAGTTAAATTTTGTATTTTTATGAATGTGATAAGCAAACCCGTAAATGAATATTGGCAATTATGTGTTGCTATTGGAAGTTTTATGTATACAAAAGAAAGGTAGGATTATTTGTAAGTAATACCATTACTAACTTTATGGTACCACTTTATGTCAAGATGTACAAATGGCGAAATATGGAAGGAGAAAATATGGGAAATAATTTGACACTAGTATTATTTATTGAAATTTTACCAACCTGCTTTGAAATTCATCTACTCTATTATTTTCTGTTTTAATTCCATGGCTGGGTCCACTCATTGATATTTTTTGTTTGTTATTCCTGTCATTTTTTATGCACACATATACACATTCACAAACCCTTTAATTATTATCTACACTTTTTACTTATATTCAAGCAGTAATAACATTTAGTTCAAATTTTGTAGTTTTTACATCCAGATTTCCTCAATTGAAATAAATTATGCTTCTAAGAGTTCTAAATTAAGCATGCTTTACAATTATTTGATTCAAGGTGTCTGCAACATATGTAGCTAATGTAATTCTGCTATGAGTACATTCTCATTTAAACATATTTTTTGCCAACACTTGTGTAATGAAATATGATTATATGTTTTTCCCACCAAGTTATAATGCACAATAAAATTATTTAATTCCAATAATATTTTCCAGGCCAAAGAAAAAAAAGTGTTTCTATAATTCTTGATGTCTTTGTGGTTTCAGTATATTAATCAATTTTCCAAAATTATCCTGAGATACAAAGATAAAGTATTCCACACAAAATTAGTTATACCTAACAGTGTTGTTGTCGTTGATGTTATACTATTTGTTACAGTAAGTAGAAAATACTGCATGTTTTCGTTATAACAGTGTAGGTTTAGATTCTAGGTAGTAATGTTAATGTATGTACAGTCTGTTTGTTTTTTTTTGATGTTGCTTAGTTGGAAGCACATCTTTGTCATATTACATGATACCTATATTCTTGATATTTACATACAATCCATGCATGAAATTCTGTTTCTTTCACTTGAAAAGATTTAACATAAGGCATTAAATAAAACTTTATATATATAAATAACATTCATCTTCTCTGAAACTGCTGGGCAAATTTACTTCAAATTTTGTCTGCAGCATCCATGTGACATTAACACTTAATTTGTTTTTATCATTTCAATTGACCCCTTTAGGGGTCAACAGAGCTAAAAAAAGAAAAACCTTAAAAAAAAATTCTACTGAACTAATTGATGGATGATCACCAAACTTTGTCTGTTACATTCTTAGAGGTTTTTATGCCACTGCAGCATCTGTGATGCAGTTGGATATAGCGATTCACCTGTGTGTATGTGTTTGTGTGTTATATAGATTATATAGTGAACTTAAAAAATCTCTTATGAAAAACCACTAGTCCAATTTCAACCAAACTTGGCAGGATTGATCCTTGGGTGAAGGGCTTCCAAAGTTGTTCAAAGAATTTCATTCCATGCAGGAATTTGGTTGCCATGGCAACTAAAAGGAATTGTAAGAATAAATTTAAAAAATCTTCTTGTAAAGACCCACAAGGCCTAGAGCATAGATATTTTGCATAAGGCATTTTCTGGAAGACCTGTACCAAGATTGTTCAAATTATAGCCTTGGGGTCAAAATTGGCCCCGCCCCGGGTCATTGATTTTCACTATATGTGCATATAGTAAAAACTTAAAATACCGTCTGTTCTGAAGGTTCAAGGCATAGAGTTTTAATATTTAGTATATGATATCATCTAAAGGTACTCTACAAAAGTTATACAAATTTTTCCTCTAGCTTCAAAATTAGCCCCGCCCCAGGGGCCATAGGTTTTCCTTAATGTATATAGTAAAAACTTTAAAAAATCATCTTCTCAAAGTGACAAAGGCTAGAGGTTAGATATTTTGCATTAAACATTGTGTAGTGAACCTCTAGCAAGATTGTTCAAATTATAGCCCTGGGGTCAACCCTGCCCCGGGGGTCATTGATTTTCACTATATGTACATATAGTAAAAAATTAAAAAATCTTATTGTATGAAGGTACAAGTCTTAGAGCTTTGATATTTGGTATATGATATCATCTATAGGTACCCAAAAGTGTTCAAATTTTGCCTCTAGTGTCAAAATTAGCCCCGCCCCGGGGGTCATAGGTTTTCCTTTATTTATATAGTAAAAACTTTAAAAAATCATCTTCTCTAAGTGACAAAGGCTAGAGGTGAAAAATTGTGAAGTGATCTCTAGCAAGATTGTTCAAATTATAGCCCTGGGGTCAAAATTGGCCCTGCCCCGGGGGTCATTGATTTTCAGTCACTATGTCACGTAAATTTTTTTTAAAAATCTTCTTGTCTGAAGGTACTTATCTGATAATAACAATTAGATGGGTCAGTGATCTATGCATTTTGGCAATCTTCAATTGTATAGAAACAAAAACATTACTATTTAGTGTTGTATTAATGCGGTGGCATAGCATTTTTCACAAATGCAATCTTGTTTTTTCTCAAGTTTGCTCAAGTTAATGTGATTCAGGTCCCTTTTAGGGGCCTAGAGAGCTAAGGTTAAAAAACCCTTAAATAGCTTCTACTAAAACCATTAAATAGCTTCTACTACACTGCTGTGGGTTCAAATCTTGACAGGGACTTTGGATTCTTTCATGTGAGGAAGCTATCCAGCTAGCTTAGTAAAGGCCGGTGGTTTTACTCAGGTGCCCGTTCGTGCTTGAAATAATGTACAGAAGTGCACCTGAGGTCTTCCTCCACAATCTATACTGTGTCGGTGTGACATAATAGTAATTGATGGATGACCAGCCCTATTTAGGCCCCAAACACTGTTTTTCGTTTGAGAAATGTTGTTAAAAAAAGTGACCACTTTTTCGGCGGAGACCCCAATCAAAATGGTACATAAGGGGGTTGCCAGAAGGAGGATGTGCCCCCTTCTGTTTGGGGGATTTGAAGGGGGGCGGCAGTCCTCCTCATTGCCAAGAAAATTTTGGACATGTGAGAAGCTAAAAATGGCCCCAGGTCGATCTTAGGGTAACTAGTAACCGACGCTGAAAAGCCTTTTACTCTATCATCTCAATTCAGCACTTTGAAATCAGTTTTGATGGGGGAAAAAAATGCAAAATAGTGATTTTTTAGCAATTTTGATATGTCCCCCTGTTGCCACGTTACCAGGAAATATATGATTGAGCATGCTGTTACAGAAGCTATGGTCCAGTCAACATTTGTGCCAAGTTTCATTAGTATTGAAGCATTTTTCATAGTTTTATAGCAGTTTGAACTTGTGACAGGAGGCTTTTCAATGAAAACGGCCATTTTTTCACAATATGCTTATGGGGAAAAAGGTTAATAAAAGACCTCTATTAGCTCGACTATTCGATAAGAATAAGTAGAGCTATTGCAGTCACCCGAGCGTCGGCGTCCGCGTCTGCGTCGGCGTAACCACTTATGTTAAAGTTTTTGTAATAGTTCAAATATTTTCAAAGTCCATTGACATATGGCTTTGAAACTTTGCACACTTGTTCACCATCATGACCCCAACCTGTAGACAGGAGGAGGTAACTCTATCAAGCATTTTGACAGAATTATGCCCCTTTTTCGACTTAAAATTTACGTTAAAGTTTTTGTAATACCTCAAATATTTTCAAAGTCCATTGACATATGGCTTTGAAACTTTGCACACTTGTTCACCATCATGACCCCAACTTGTAGACAGGAGGAGGTAACTCTATCAAGCATTTTGACAGAATTATGCCCCTTTTTCGACTTAGAATTTATGTTAAAGTTTTTGTAATACCTCAAATATTTTCAAAGTTCATTGACATATGGCTTTGAAACTTTGCACACTTGTTCACCATCATTACCCCAACCTGTAAACAGGAGGAGGTAACTGTCAAAATCAAGCATTTTTTTTTTACTATCAAGCACTTAGAATAGTCGAGCGTTGCTGTCCTACCGACAGCTCTTGTTTCTATTTTTAGCTCACCTGAGCACGAAGTGCTCAAAGGTGAGCTTTTGTCATCACTCTGCGTCCATCGTGCGTCGTGCGTCGTGCGTCCTTCAAAAAATGGCGTCAAACTTTTCAAACAACATCTCCTCCTAAACTACATGGCCAATTGCAACCAAACTTTACAGAAATGATCCTTAGGTGGACCCCTTTCAAAGTTGTTCAAAAATTTAAATTCCATTAAAAACTCTGGTTGCCATGGCAACCAATAAGAAAAACTTAAAAAATCTTCTTCTAAAAAACCGTAAGAGCTAGAGCTTAGATATTTGGCATGAAACATCTTCTAATGAGTGCCTACCAAGTTTGTTCAAATCAAAGCCCTAGGGTCAAAATTGGCCCCGCCCCAGGGGGTCATTGATTTTCCCTATATGCATATAGTAAAAACTTAAAAAATCTTCTTTTAAAGAACTCAAAGAGCTAGAGCTAAGATATTTAGCATGAAACATGTTCTAATGGGTGTCTACCAAGTTTGTTCAAATAAAAGCCCTGGGGTTAAAATTGGCTCCGCCCCGGGGGTCATTGATTTTCCTTATATGTGTATAGCAAAAACTTAAAAAATCTTCTTTAAAAAAACCCAAATAGCTGGAGTTTAGCTATTAAGCATGAAACATCTTCTAGTGAGTGTCTACAAAGTTTGTTCAAATCAAAGCCCTAGGGTCAAAATTGGCCCCGCCCCGGGGGTCATTGATTTTCCTTATATGACTGTGTATAGCAAAAACTTAAAAATCTTCTTTGAAAAAACCCAGATAGCTAGTGTTTAGATATAAAGCATGAAACATCTTCTAGTGAGTGTCTACCAAGTTTGTTCAAATAAAAGCCCTAGGGTCAAAATTGGCCCCGCCCCAGGGTGTCTTTGATTTTCCCTGTATGCATATAGTTAAAACTTAAAAAACTTCTTTTAAAGAACCCAAAGAGCTAGAGCTAAGTTATTTAGCATGAAACATCTTCTAATGAGTGTCTACAAAGTTTGTTCAAATAAAAGCCCTAGGGTCAAAATTGGCCCTGCCCCCGGGGGTCATTGATTTTCCCTATGTGCATATAGTAAAAACTTAAAAAATCTTCTTTTAAAGAACTCAAAGAGCTAGAGCTAAGATATTTAGCATGAAACATGTTCTCATGGGTGTCTACCAAGTTTGTTCAAATAAAAGCCCTGGGGTCAAAATTAGCCCCGCCCTGGGGGTCATTCATTAGCTTGACATTTTTTTTTTTAGATATATACATATTATATATATACATATATATTTAATATATATATATATATATATATATATATATATATATATATATATATATATATATATATATAAATGTATATATATATATAGATATATATATAGATATATATATATACATACTATGTATATATATATATATATGATATATATATATATATGTATGTATGTATATATTTTTAAAAATTAATAAAATATAAAAAATATTATAATAAAAAATTTTAAAAATTAAAAAAAATAAAATTAATTAAAAATTTAAAAATGCTTTACAAAAAAAACCCCAAAGTTTTTTTTAAAATTTAAAAGCCCGGGGGTTTAAAACCCCCCGCTCCGGGGGCCCTATATAAGGTGAGCGATTTTGGGCCATCAGGGGCCTCTTTTTAAAAGTTTACATTTAGATGGGTTTTAAAATTTTTTTTTATAAACCAGGAAAATTCCCCAATTTCTTACACCAGATGTGTTTAACCCCAAAAAAACCATTGCCCCTTAGGGATGGAGAAACAGATTTTAACCCCCATGATTTTATTTTGGGCCTGGTTCCACAATTTTAAATTTCTTAAACTCCCTTTTTCCCTTTTTTTATGTGTTGAAAGACTCGAAATATTTTTATTTGCATATGGGATCCCAAAAAACATTGTCTTTCCATTTGAAGAGAATGTAAGTAAAAATGTTTTGCAACATTAATTTAAGCAAGAAATTTAAGATGGGTCCTGAAGTGGAAAGCTAATGTATGTGAACGTTTTTATGTACTTATATTTTTATTGACAACTCATTAAATAAATTGTGTCGCAAAATCAATTGTGTCATCCCGCAATAAATGATGACATGCATCTTGTTATCCCCCGCCGAAAAATTTCGGCGGAGGATATAGAAATAGTCTCCGTCCGTCCGTCCGACCTTCCGTCCTTCCTTCCGTCCGTCCGTCCGTCCTTCCGTCCGACATTTTTGTCCAGAGCATAACTCCAAAAGCCTATGAGATATTAACATGAAACTTCATAGGTGCATAGATCTCACTCAGGAGGTGTGCAGTGCACAAGAATGATAACTCTACCTTTCATTATTTTTGAGTTATTGCCCTTTGTTATTTTTCATACCTAATTTTTCACCTGAGTTGAGCATAACTCAAAAAGTGTTTGAGATATCAACATGAAATGTCATAGGTGGATAGATCTTATTGAGGAGGAATGTTGTGTGCAAGAATGATAACTCTTCCCTATACAATTTTTGAGTTATTGCCCTTTGTTTTTTTTATGCTAGTTTGTCCAGAGCTTATCTCAAAAAGTATTTGAGGTATCAACTTGAAACTTCAAAGGTGGATGGATCTCATTGAGGAGGAGTGCAGTGCTTAAGAATGATAACTCTACCCTGCATTATTTTTGAGTTATTGCCCTTTGTTATTTTTCAAAATTAATTTTTGTCCAGAGCATAACTCAAAAAGCCTTTGAGATATCAAAATGAAACTTCATAGGTGCATAGATCTCACTCAGGAGGTGTGCACTGCACAAGAATGATAACTCTACCTTTTATAATTTTTGAGTTATTGCCCTTTGTTCTTTTTCATACTTAATTTTTCAATTCAATTTTTTTCTCAAAAAGTATTTGAGGTATCAACTTGAAACTTCATAGGTGGATAGATTTTACTGAGGAGGGATGCAGCACACAAGAATGATAACCTACCCTGCATTATTTTTCAGTAATTGCCCTTTGTTAGCTCGACTTTTCTATGAAAAGGGGAGCTATCCTACTCGCCCCGGCGTCGGCGTCGGCGTCGGCGTTAGCGTTGGCGTCACACCTTGGTTAAGTTTTTCGTACCACCCCACTTTATTTCAGAAGTATTACAAGTATGGCTTTGAAACTTACCATACTTGTTCACCATCATAACCTCCATCTACAGACAAGAGTACATAACTCTGTCAAGGTTTTTGACAGAATTATGGCCCTTTTTTGACTTAGAAAGTGTATTGAGCTTGGTTAAGTTTTTTGTACCACCTCACTTTATTTCAAAACCATTGGAGGTATTGCTTTGAAACTGACCATACTTGTTTACCATCACGACCTTCATCAACAGACAGAGGACATAACTCTGTCAAGGTTTTTGACAGAATTATGCCCCTTTTTGACTTAGAAAATACATTGAATATGGGTAAAATCCACTTATTGCCTTAACCCTTTGAGATATTGCTTTGAAACTTTTAATGCTATTTCACATCATTACCCCCATCTGTACGCAAGAGAAGGTAACTCTGTCAAGGATTTGTTTTAAAAATTAAGGCCTTTTATCGACTTAGAATCTTGGTTAAGTTTTTAGTACCAGTCCACTTTTTGACTGAACTGTTTGAGATATTAATTTGAAAGTTGGAATACTTGTTTACAATCATGATTCCCAAACATGTCCAGGAGAAGGTAATTCTGTCAAAGATTTTATTTGAATTATGGCCCTTAACTGTCAATGTTTTGTATTATAGGCAAGCACTAAAAAACTTAAAAAATCTAAAAAAATTCATTCCTATCCACTGAACCTGCAGTGTTCAAGGGTATCACACAATTCAGTAAAATAATTCTTCACTAAATATCTTAATGCTCATGGCCATTGTTCACTTTAAAAATACAGAGATTCTTGTATTGCCTTTTACTGCAAAAACTTTTTTTATTGGCAAGCAATAAAAAAGTCGAGCGCGCTGTCTTACGGACAGCTCTTGTTATTTTCAGCCATCAGTATTCACATAGGTTTCAAATCTGTAATCACTATAGCCATCAGTTTTCATTACCAAAAGACCTCTTAAAATGGAATTACTCCGCTCTACTACATATACATTCTTCCAATGAGCAAACACATTCGGCGGGGGATGGCCATGTTGACATGGCTCTTGTTTAGAATATAAGACTTAGCTGCTTTGCTGCTGAATTAAACTTGTTAATTTAAGATTTTTCAATCGTGACTAACATCAATTTTGGCTTTGCTGGATCAGCTTTTGTATTATTTTATTTGAAATCTTTGGATATTTTTTTTATTCAGGATTATAAGAATATATTAATGAGAAAATATGAGAACCAAAAGGTAGCATTAAAACCCTTGCATGTTTCTATTTTTAGAATTACGTGTTTCTATTTTAGAATTTCTATTTTTAGAATTGCCTGTTTCTATTTTTAGAAATGTGTGTTTCTATTTTTAGAATTGCGTGTTTCTATTTATAGAATTGCGTGTTTCCATTTTTAGAATTGGGTGTTTCTCTTTTTAGAATTACGTGTTTCTATTTTTAGAATTGCTTGTTTCTATTTTTAGCATTGCATGTATCTATTTTTAGAATTGCGTCTTTCTATTTATAGAATTGCGTGT